TCTCCAAAGATCCTCAGGATTTTCTATACAGGCGCTGTGGAGAGCATCCTCACACAGAACATGACATCGTGGTTGGGGAACAGCTGTGTGAAGGACCAAAAAGCTCTCCAGAGAGTGATCCGTACAGCAGAACGCTGCTGCAGGATTGCTCTCCCCCCGCTTCAGGACACCTACACCAGGAGATGCCGGACTAGAGCAGCGCAGATACTGAAGGACCCGTCCCATCCTGGCAACAAACTGTTCCAACTTCTGCAATCTGGTAGAAGGTTCCGCATCTTCCGGGCAAGGACAGAGAGACTCAAGAGGAGCTTCTATCCCCAAGCCATCCGTGCCCTAAACACACACACCCGCCCTCTCACATCATCTATAATTGACTGAGACAGGACTCTTCCAGACACTAAACCAAGGCACAATGTACATTTCAATTCCTTTAATTTTAAATATGTTTATATTGTCTATCCTGTAAAATAGTCAGATGTCTATTCATATTAATGTACAGAATTCACCTGCTTGCTGCTACTACTGCACATTCACCCAGTGTATATACTATATATATATATATATATATATATATATATATAGTACATATTCCGCATGAGGACCTGGAGAAGCTTATTCACGCTTTTGTGACCTCCAGGTTGGATTATTGTAACTCCTTGTACTATGGTCTTCCCTCTTCTCTTCTTCTTAAACTGCAAACAGTCCAAAATGCAGCAGCCCGCCTTTTGACTGGTACCAGGAAATTTTGCCATATTACCCCTGTCCTAGCTAGCCTGCATTGGCTGCCCATAAAGTACCGTATTCAATTTAAAATATTACTCCTTACTTTCAAAACTATTAATAAATTAGCGCCAAGTTATCTTAGTGAACTTCTCAAACCACATACTCCTGCTAGAACACTCAGATCTGCCACTCAACTACTTCTGACCCAACCCAGATCTCGACTGAAGTCCCGGGGTGACCGTGCGTTTGCTCTGGCTGCCCCGGTACTGTGGAATACCCTTCCTCTCGACCTCCGCGCATCTGATTCCATTGCACTGTTCAAATCACGATTAAAAACCCACTTATTCAATCTTGCCTTTCCCTCTAGTTAATATTTCTTTTATGATTTTATATCATGCACTTCTATGCTCATTTCAATTCTTGTTTGCTCTGTACCTGTTGCTTTCCTATGTATTAGTGACAGTTATCTGTTTGCATATTTAGTACTTGCTTTGGTCCTATTTCTATTATCCTCCTCCTATACTCTATTTTACTTGTTAAGCACCTTGGCATACCCTTGGTTTTTACGTGTGCTTTATAAATAAAGTTTATTATATATATATATATATATATATATATATATATATATATATATATATATATATATAATGTTCTTGCTCTACACCCCCCCCCCCCCCCATTTTTGCACATGTCGAGGAGCGTGTCAGGCTACATTTCACTGTGTGTTATACTTGTATAACTATGCATGTGACAAATAAAGAACCTTGAACCTTGAACCAAAGTAACTGAATACCACCTTTTTAAACAGTAACTGCCCATATGGAAAAGAAATAGTAAAAACTTATATGTGATTACTCATGAAAGTGGCCGCTTTATGATTACTTTCATACATTGTTTTAGTAAGTATCCAAAACATACAAGTTTCATTATATAATTTTTCAAGGGATCTTATATCTGTTTTCACTCTTATATGCTTTTCATACAGGTTTCACACAAGACAGACACAAATTTTATAAGATTTATATATGTCTTTTCCATTTGGGTGTAACAGAATACAGTTACTCATATTTTGTATTTTGAATACGTAACGCTGGTACATGTGCTCCGTTACTCCCCAGCACTGCATGCTGTCTACATCTTTTCTTCACAAGTGCTTCAAAGTATCCGTGACTGCACATTTCACATCATGTGTTGAACCACTTTAAAGTTCTTTAAAGCATCGTCACGGGGACCGAAGAAAATGGGATTCATATTCAACAAAATTTGAAAGCAAGTGCCATCAGTCAGCATCTGTCTCAGATCATCTAGCACATAGGTGTCAAACTCTGGCCCGCGGGCCAAATTTGGCCCGCAGCCTAATTACATTTGGCCCGCGAAGCCATACCAAATGACTATCAGAGCTGGCCTACTGGTATTATCCAGCTAATATATATATTGTTTAGTATTAAGCTTTGCTTGTTCCATATTCAGTTTTTCAGCAAAACGTGTTCGAGTCCATAAGAAAAGATTCATTCTCATATCTGGAGGAAGATTTTTTTTTAAATAAATATTAATGTTAGCCCGCGACTTTGTTCCAGATTTGAATTTTGGCCCACTGTGTATTTGAGTTTGACACCCCTGATCTAGCACAGAGTAGCGTTGACTGACACGTGATGTGCTCAAAGTTGGGCTTCAAACCTGCATCCCTGTTTGGGTCTAGCCTCTACTCAGAGTCCTTATCTCCTGACCTGCACTGCCCTTTGTGGACCTTCTGCAGTTCTGCTAAATCCACTGGAAAGGTCTGGCAGTAGGCTACAATGTTCTGGATCTTAAAGTTGAGGAAGTGCACGGGAAAGCCAAACTTCTGCAGTTTGCGGACAAACTTCCTGGCCGCCAGGCGCGACTCCTCCACACTTATTAAAAGAAAGAGGAAGCAAGGAGATGGTTGGAAACCCACCGTGCTGCACCATAGTCTGAGGAGATGTGAATCCAGACAAACCTCTTGGTTCCCAGGCAGATGATTTTCCCAGTTCGGAAGATGGTCGCTGTTGCTTTTGGCTCCCGGATCCTAGCGATGATCCCTGTGAAATACTGAAAAACAGCAAGAATGAAAACCAGTGCCGGGCTTATTATGTCTTCACGTACATCACTCGTTCAGGTCTCTGCACCTGTGGTTTGTACTGCACGTTCCACATCCTGCGAGCAATGAACTTCAGGTCCAAACAGCAGCCCAGGTCCACTGTGGAGATGACGTTACTGCACGCAAACACATAAAAACACAAGAGTCACAGCTGCGTGTTCAAGCCGCAGAGCCGTCACTGGACAGAAGCAGACTGTGATCTCTGCGGTGATACCATATCACTGGGGCGAGATTCGACGACTTCTCCTTCAGTGTCTCAGGGTCCTCCGGGGTCCCGGGTTTAACAGGAAGGGCCTTCAGTTCAGACGAGGAGGACGCACACGTGGGCTTAGCTTCTGCTGAGGAATTCTGGGAGCTGCTGTCTCGTGACTGCGTGCCGGCGATCCCGCTCTCTGCAGTCCGATCCTCCTTCTTACAGATTCTGTCTGAGGCACGAACAAGAGCAGCAGAGCTGAAAGTACCACAAACTGCAGTTCCTCTGACGTCCACTCGAGGCTCCAAAACCAACTGTCACTAAGTGCTAATTAGCAGTTATGGATTAACAGTATATGGATGCAGCTCGGTCACTGCTCAGCGCTCCACCCAGTCATGATCGCACCGTGTGCAGAGTGTTGTCGGCTCTGTTGTCGTACCTGCATCGTCACAGGTGACCGTGTTCAGTGTCAGGAGCTCATCAGGCAATAACTTGAAAAACAGCTCCTCCTCGCCGACCTCCTCGCTGACATCCTCTGTCCTCCTGGGGTTCTGCAGCAAGAAGAGAATCTGCCTATGTGCTAACGTGGTGCTACATGTTTCTGCTCTGTGTGGTGTCCAGAAATGAACAAGCTCAGTGTCGATAACTCCAGGTCCAACCTTCACATCCTGAAATCAGTCCAACTCAAAAATGGTCTGAATTCCTCTCCAGCGAAACGACTGGTCACTGTTCACAGTGGTGTCAGGTTAAAGTTTAACACCCAGCTGTTAGTAGTTAGCAGGTTAGCTGGCTAGTTTCAGTATATAGTCTGTGACGACTGCAGCACATCATCATCTAAAGATACACTTTGGCGTGACCTTAACAGGCTTGTGTCTGGATTCAATCACTTCTGTGAAGACGAGTGGACCAGAGTTGAAATTTTCTCCACGTTTGATTTTCAGGTCTGAAATGCGGCAGTTTACCGGTTTGATTTTTAAACCAGCAGCTGAAAAAATGAAAACTCACGTTAGCGATGAACTCATCGAAGTATCGCTCCAACGCAGACTCGTCCATGATGCAGGAGGAAGCCTCAGCGATCAAACCCAGTAATAACAGCGAGCCAAAAATAAACGTACTGTCAGAGGTTTAGTGTGAAGTTGATTGTTTACATCCAAAAAGATTCAGACAGGAGTCTGTTGCTAGGAGACGAAGATGCTCAAACATGACAGTGAATGATTTTATGTGTTCTTCCAAAAAAATAATTTAAATGAAAATCAAGAGAAAGTGATAAAAACAAATGCTTCACTGCTTTGAGCCACGCCCCCTGCAGGTGGACAGGGTTGCGTTCAGGGTGGAACCCACTGAAAGCATCCCATCGGAAATGCAAAACCTGCTTATTTCAGCTCTCTGCTAGAGTGGCTTTGCACCAACCCCAGTTCTTAATAATCCCCTTCTCTTATTCTGGGCCTCGGTGTCATCACCACCACTGTTCACCCACTGCCTAAAGAGGGACGCTGTTAGCTCCTCCCCCTGAGCCAATACACTCAAAGCAGGTTTGTTCCTGGGTTTTCTTTTACAAAAGCTGCTGCATGCTTCAGGTGGGGTTTCCCATCAGCGAGGCCAGATATGGACATCCCCTCTCTATGACATCATACAGACCCACGAGGGGAACAAACTGTGATAAACTGAGTGTTGAGCAGCCTGAGCGTTGGGCTCAGCGTGAGCAAACGCTCAGCATTACAAACTCAGGCATGTGACAGGGAGAGGGGGGGCGAGTACTCGAGTATCTCGACCTGTAGAGGCTGTTTGTTTAAATTGGGGATGATTACAGCAAACATTCAGCCTCCTTCCTGCCCGCTCTTATCTCCTCACACCCTCCCACCCACTCCACCTTTCCTTCATTCCTTCTTTGTCAGTTATTTCTTCACTTTTTGTTCCTCCCACAGATTCAGTGTGTGTGCCGTTTCCTTTATTGTTTCCTTCTCCTTCATTACCTTTTATCATCATTCAGGTTTTATTTATTTTCTCCCTTTTTTGTACCTCCATCCACCTTTACAGTTTTCCTCTTGTCCCTCTTTCCTTTCTTTCGTGGGGTTTAATGCCTTCATACTCCACGTTCTTATTCCTTTTCTACTTATCATTCATTTTCTTCCATTTCCTCGTGACCTTCCTTATTTCCTTCTTTAACTTAGTTTGGATTTCCCCCACATGTCCTTTCTCATCTCTTTCCTCCTTTAATCCCTTTTTTCTCCTTTCTTCAATCCTTCCTCTTTCCCTTTTTACTTGCATCCCATCATTTGTGGCTTAACTGCTTCCTTTTCTTTCCTTCCTTCTTTTTGACTCATTTCTGTCCTTGCCCATACATTTTGTCTCACATCTTTGTTTCCTTCACTTCATAGCCCCCCCTCCTCACGTCTGTCTGTTATTCCATTTCATTCTTTCTTTTAAATTTGTCCTTCCTTCCTTTCCTTTCAATTCGTTTCTGCCTTCCTTGAACTCATCCTACTTCCTCTCCTTGTTTCTTTACAAATCTTTCCTTCCCTGCTTGTTCCTTTCAGTTAATGTTGTCTTTTTCTTTGATCTGGTACTTTTCCCTGCATTCCTCTTTTTTTTAATTTTGTTTTGTCCTTCCATCCATCCTTGTTTCTTCTCCCTCATTCCTTTATTCCTCCCTTCTTTGCTCTTTGTGATTTCTTCCCTTTGATAACTTCTTCCATGTTTTGTTTTGCTTTCCCCTTCATCTTCTTCCTTTAATTTACTCCCTGCTGTGGTCTCAGTTCCTCTTTCCTCCGTCCTTAACTTCATCCTTCGGTCCTCCTTTATCCCCTCCTCCTCCTGTCTGTCCCTCCTCCAGCTGAAGTAAACAGATGAACCGGGAGATACTGAATCTCTCCCTGGGCCCCTCTTCCTCACTCCTCCCAGTTAATTGGGCTCTGGCTGTCTGAGTGGCAGTCGCAGCAGTATTGAGGCCCGGCCGTGCTCCAGATGTGCGCAGAGTTGACCGCAGTGAAATGTGAGCCGCTCCGGCCTGGCTGCCTGTATTTTGGGATGTTTTACACGGGGCAGGACAAAGACACGTTTCCAGGCGGGATCCCGGCCTGAGCAGATGTTCCTGTGCTGGGAGCCGAAGAGGAAGAAGGAGAGGAAGAAGAAGAGGAGGACCCGCGCGCAGCAGAGCGAGGACAGAGACGGTAGAGTTTGCGCGAACATCGGCCTGTTTGGGCAGCGTTTGCTGACAGGAAGTCGGCGTTAATCACTCCCGCCGGTGCTTCCTGCTCGCGCCGCTGATCAGCCACGTGTGGTCGCGCAGCTGCGCCGTGTTTGACGCACGCGAGCGCACGTTCACAGACAGTTACCGGGAAACTTCGGATAACTCCTCAAATTCAAGTAATTACTAAAAAAGGCAGCGAGGGGTCGCAGTAATGGTTGAGCCCTCAGGTTTCCCTGGCAACGTTAACAGCAACCAAGATTAGCAAAGCAGGACTACAAGCTGACAAGTTGTAGTCCTGTAAGCGTAGGCTGAGACCACCGAGAGTAAACGTGACTAAAAGTCTTCAGATTAGATGAAAATTCACCGGAAACGTTTCTTCTTTCTAAACAGACTTTAAATTAGCCTGTTTAGAAATTAGACTTTAAATTAGCCTGTTTTACACATACAGTGGTACCATTGGTTGCCATGACAACATGGCTGGCTCTCCATTAACTAGTTTTTCCACTATGCTAGCTAACAGCATGAACAAAGCATTACAAGCTGAACCAAATTGTCCCCTTGTGGGACAATTAAAGGATTATTCTATTCTAATGTTAGCTAATATCATCTGACTGCCATGCAGTGTGACTGTTACCACCACTTACCAGCTAACCAACTAACTGGTTTGACCCGTAAGATACCGTCAACCAAAGTAACAAGCAGCATTACTAATTAAACAGCTAATTTATAAGATGAAACCTGCTAATTCAACTTAGAACTCCACATTCTGGATATTGTAATTCTGCAATAACTAATTAATGAAGACGAGTTTCTTAACAGTAGTTCACCAGCTAACACAATTACCAAAGTAGTGTTATGAGATCGACAGACCACGTGACTTTCGCGCGTTGCATTGTGGGTACGAGTGGCAACAAAATCAAAACACTGCATCAAGCGCCAGCATTTCCAGCACCGGTAACCATTAATTCTGCGGTTTAATCCCCACTTGCATTTTATTTGCCCCAAAAACAGTTCTGTACAAAACGACGGAGAACTCGGCAGCTCCGCACGAAGACAGACGTGACGAAGAGTCAAAGAAAGTACGAGGAAGAAATCAAAGGAGTGAAAGGGTCAGACCCACACGAGCACAGAGTGGAGTAAGGACGTCAGCGTGCTGCACAACTTTCATCACGTTTATTATTATATGGTCCTAAGTGAGAGCGCACACACTCACAACATGTTTGGTAGCATCAGATCCTGCAACAAGCCCAGCTCCAGTTTACTTTGGTGGTTTGGACGACTCCATCTCACAGCTGCTGTTACAGGCCAACGCATCTATGTGTCGTTTCAGGTTGTAGTGTTACACAACATTTTCAGATCCAATAGAAATAAAATAAGTGTTTGATAATTCATTCAATTCATTGTCTTTATTTATTACTGGCAACATTGTTTCATTCTGTTACAGAATCTCACAGCAAAGAGGCAACATTGTAGAAATCCATCAGCTTTATTAGCTGCTTCGCTGAAAAACAAATCAACAATGCAAAAACAAAACATCAAACAACAAACTGAGACAGTATCACTTGCTTCATACAACACTTGGGCGCATATATGCAGACGTGGCTGTTTTGATCTCGCTCTCTCTTCACCAATCAGATCTGGCTGTGGTAGCAGCTTGAAACCCAGGCTGATAGAGGGGCCCAGTCTGGATCGCATCCCAGCATTTTGTAGGCTGCTTTTCCTACAAAGAACAACAAACATTAGCCCGCAAAGCCACAGTGAACAAAGCAGCAAAGCAACGAATTCAATTCAAATTAAGACTTATTTGTAACCTACATCACCAATTATGATAAATGACTTAATGACTACAACAGCAGACTGACCTCTGTGGGAATGCTTGGAGCAGACTGACCTGTGAGCTGCAGCGTTCTGGGACGTTATATTTGCTCTTCGAACGGCTGCAATCCAGGCCGTCCGTCGCCTCTTTGTTACTTCGGAAACTCGGTTTGAACGATTTTTCTTCCACGACGGAATCCGATAACAACGATCTCTTTACCGTCGGCTTCCCGTGGCTGTCATGCGACCGGCTGTTGCAGCTAATAACACAACAGCTTCTTGCCATTTTTTGTTTCTTTTTATCGCTGTGTGACTGTTTTCACGTGAAAGCCTGCGTGCGCTAGTACCGCTTACCACTCGTACCCACAATCCTTTGCGGGTTTGACGTCACATTTTCGATCTCATGACCACCTAACAAGCCAATGCTACAAGCTTCCGTTTAAGTAACATTTCTTTATTAGCAGAGTGAATTTGTAGGATTGTTAACAGGGACAGTAAGTTAAACAAATGTCTGTTAACATTTCTTTAACCAGGTGAGACTTTCGTACAGCGTGACCTTGTAGAGAGTGCAGGCCTACATGCAGTCACAAAAACCACTACCTGGCTAACAGGCTGGTAGGTAATGATGTCAGGCAGGACTAACGCACACAAACGGGCTAACCTGCAGAAACTAAGCCTTGGAAGCTGCATACAGAAGTCTTAGTGGGAAACACCAGGTACACAGAGAGCTGCTGCACACCTGTGTGAAGGTTGTTGTTGTTTTAACTCCCCCTCTTTGATGTCCCGCAGATATGGCCGAAGATGTCCGTGGATTCTGATAACTCCTGTGTTTTGCTGTCATCACGTGACTCCCGGACTTCCTGCATCTTTCAAACCGCTGATGAGAAAGATGACATCCCAGGAGTGGGAGAGGAAAGGTGAGCCAAATTCTCAGGGGCTGATTGGTTTTCATTAACCTGTTTATCCTTTGCTGTGGTGTCGATTCCTTTGTAACTCCACCTCCTTCCTCCCACAGCGTCCTGGAGATGCTGAGCTACTCCAAGTTCTCCGACCTGGAGACATGGCTGTGCATGCCGTCCTCACTGCTGCTTTCCAGGCCTCTGGACTCCACCCACACCTCCTCGGGCTCTTCCTCCAACTCGTACTCCTCACGTGCGTCCCTCCACTCCGCCAACTCGCTCCCGGCTTCCTCCTCTTCGTCGCTGGCTTCAAACTCCCGCCACTCCACCTGCAGCGAGCCGGGAGAAATCGACAGGTAACCCCAGCTCACCTGTTTATGCTTTTCATTGGGTTTATTTCGAGGCCGTTTCCATGAAGTTTGCTGATTTCAGGGTTTTTTGGATAACGGTGGAGCGCTGTGGCACAGAGGAACCAATCAGGCCCTTTGGTGCTTTGAATGAAACTTTAAAGAGATCCTTTGAGGGAAAATGTTCTGCCATTCAACCTTCTCACTGTCCGTCTATAAACAGGATCATGCTGCGTGTTTGAGCTGATCTTTGGAGTTTTGAAGCAGCTGCTGGGTCCAAACAAAAGACAGAAGTTTATTGTCGTGTGTTCGAAGTGTCAGGATTAACTTTAGAGAGCCTCGGGCGGGTCTGTCAGAGGAAATGTACAGCTAATGTGTGGAAGTGGGGTCATTATGAGTGTTTGCAGCAGCTGGAGGCTCTTCAGACGAACTATAGGAGCAGGTTGCCGAGTGGAAGGTCCTCCCTGTCACGCTCACAGATCCGTTTCCAGCCAGGTCCTGCTGTCTGAGCTTCGTTGGTTTCTTTGCAGGAAACACTCAGTGCAGTGTCAGATCCACAGACTCCAGTTTCTGTCAGGGCTCTCTGACAGATTTCACCGTCCTCAAAGAACACAGCTGCTCCCCATCACAGTTTCCCACTTCCTGCACAGTGACATGTGTTTCCTGAATCTCGTGCACGGTTTCTAAATGGTCCAAAACATGTTTAGAAGACTGATTCTAAGCAGGCGTCTGTGGACGGGATGGCTGCAGGTTCGATCCCTGTCTCGTTCCTCAGACTGTGACTGTGAGCTAGAGAGCAGCTCGGTGTAGACAAAGCCCCTGTGGATGAGTCCATGTCTCATTCCCTCCAAGCCTGATGACAGGAAGAGCTCCTCCTTATGGTGTGTCCGTGGACAGGACGTTAACGACTGCTGTTGCTGGTAGCGTGACAGTGATGTGGTTGTTGTACTGCTGGCTGGAGAACAGAGAACATCTACAGACATCACCTTTCACTGACTCATGCTCTGTTCACTCAGCTGTTTCACGTGTGCAGAACTCAGAGCACGCTCTGTACAGATCTGGACCCACGCTGATGCAGAGCAGGCTCAGAAACGCTCGACTCTCCGTTCTCCTCACCCAGCCTTTGTCCCCCTGCGCGCACACACACAGGTAAGGTAACACCCCTGCTGGGCAGTGAACACCTGACAGGAGCTTTTCCTTCAGCGCTGTTTCCGGCTGTGGCCGTCCGGTGAAGGGCGCAGTGCTCTGCAGCGATCTGCTGAAGCGCGTGTCCTCGGATGCTGAGCTGGGCTCGGCTGCTGGATCTTTTCCTGCGGAGGAAGAAGAAGGGACGGCATCTGATCCGAGCATCACGGTGCAGCTGCTGTCTCCGAGGACAGGTACCAGCTGGTTTGTGGTGGTTACCTGTCCGTCCCGCACGTCTCAGGGTCGCGTTCAGCGCTCAAACGATTGCTGTTTGAAGCTCTCGCAGTCTGCTCACACTGCTCCCTCATCCCTGCAGGGAAGCTGGATTTCTGATGTGACCAGAGCTCAGTGCGGTGCTCTGACTAACACCGGCATGTTCCTGTGTTCGTCTAATGGGAAATACATTAAACTTCTTCCAGGTTTTTACACGATTTGCAGCGTTGGTGTGGCAGGGATGCCGTGTGGATACTTTATTCCCAAAGTGTTGATGAAAACAGGATATTTCGTCACAGTATTCCTGAATAAAGTGTTTCCAGTTGCTTCAACAGCTAGAGGAGGAGTTCTCCGTGTCGTGTTTATTTTGTGCTGACTTTTCTCTCCTCGGATCCCTGCAGGTCGTCAGAAAGAGACTCCACCTTCCTCACGCCCACTCTGACGAAGGAGGCGACCTGTCTGTCCACACCCCTCCTCCCCATCCTCTCCTCCACCCCTGCACCTCCTCCCGCTGCTGCCGCTTCACGGTCCAGCTATGGCACTCACGCAGGAGACTCCGCCTCCCACAGTGGCGTCAGCATCAGGAAGCGGCGGCGTCTCGCTGCCAGTCCTGGAGGACTCCACTGGACCTCTTCAGGTAACAACAGCCAGTGTGTGTGTGTGTGTGAGTAACTCCTTCCTGCCTGGAGTAAACATGCTCCTCTGAACGTCTACATGGACACAGACAGTGAGATTAGGTCAAAGGTCAGATCTGACTCGTCTGACTTTCTAAGAGGGCATTAAACTGAAGCATCGCTCGCTCGGTTGCCTAGGTAACGTTCTAATCAGCAGTATGCTTTAACATTTAAAGCTGAGAAGAGATTGATCAGGTAGCGTTTGGGACGAGATCAGAAACGAGTCCATCAGAGGGGCAGCTCATGTGCACAGAAGGAGGGGGTGGAGGATGAAGGTGGAGCCACCAGGCAGGAGGAGGAGAGGAAGAGCTCAGAGGAGGATACTGGTATAGGAGGAGGCTGAAAGAAGGAGTGGGTCTCTGGTCGCGGCATCGCTGTCCGTCACTTCCTGTGTAGACGTGCTTTATGGCATCGCCAACCCCAGAAGCTTTTAATTGGCCAAAATATAAAGTAGCTAAATGCAGGCAGCTCAACAGGGCTGAAACACCTGGGTAACAACAAACAGGTGAGACCAGCCAGTGAGGACGAGACGGGGGAAGTAAACACATCACGACACAAATGACTACCAAAATAAAACAGGAAGTGAGAAGTAATAAGAAAATGAGGAAGTGCAGACGTGTTAATAAACATCGAGGGGAAAAACTCGACTTTAATACAAAATCGAGACTAAAAAAGTACACGAAGAAGAAAATGAGCCAAGTATGTAAACAGTGAGTCAAACAGGAAGTTGTTTATAGGTGAAATCAGCAGTGAGACGTCTGTGTTGGCGCTGACGGAGGCTGACGGAGGCTGAGCCCCTCTGCCCTGTGGTCATCGTCGAGCAGCCACGTCAGGAGTCTGTGTCTTGTTTCTCCCACACCCACAGAGACAGGTCTGTCGTGGGTGGAGGTTGTAGCTGCCGGCAGACTGGACGTGGGGTTGGAGCGGAGCTGTGGGCGTGCCGTCGAGTCAGGAATGTCTCTAATGGCTCCGAGCGGCGGTTTTGTTTACCGGGCTCCACTTCCTGTGTGTTGCTCTGCTCTCTTTAGCTCCACCCTTCTGGAGAATGATAACGAGCTTCCTGTTGAGCAGATTACGGCACAGCATCCATCAGGTGTTTGATCTCTGGCGCGCTTTCCTCAGACTGCAGGGTTAAGCTGCTTCTCGGCTTCACGTCGCAGGTTTTCCGTCTTTTCTGATCTGTCCTGCTGATTCCTCGCACTCAGTTATTCCACGCCCGCCCAGGCTGCGGCGCCTCGTTTGGATAAAAACTTCAGTGTGAGATAAACATGGTGTCTGAGGTGGTGTAGCTGCTGCTGGTTCTGGGTGGAGTTAATGAGCTGATGCAGAGATAAAGCCTGAGGTGGAGGTGGTTCGTTAGAGTTTCACAGCGGTCCACGAAGGGGCGTGGCTAAATCTCTGAACCAGTTTTACCATCAGTGACACCACAGCTGTGCTTTAGGACTCCGCCCCATCTCCTGTTCTTAGGTGTTCATCTTTTATGTATGTAACTTTGTAATTTTAACATGTTGTCGCCTCTTGGCCAGGACTCCCTTGAAAAAGAGGTTTTTAATCTCAATGGGACCTTTCCTGGTAAAATAAAGGTTAATAAATAATAAATAAATAAAGGGCAAAGGTTACTGGCTTTTTTACACCGACCTGCTTCACAAACAGGAAGTCCTGAGCTGGTTATCCTTTATCCTGATATCCTGTTTACAGCGCCCCCCAGAGGCTCAGTGAGCAGACCAGCTGCTTCTTAAAATCAGGTAAACCCTGAAACTCCCAGGTGACCTCAGTGAAGGAACCTTCAAAATAAGATGTTCAGAGAAAAAATGCAACACCAACAAAAGTTTGAGACAAAAGTTTTCCAGCAAAAAAGCTTTTATTTGAAGCAGAAATGAGAGAACAGGATCCTCAGAGCCTCCATCCTGAAACAGGAAGCTGAGGATGCTGCAGATCTTTGCCGTCCTTCAGCACACCTGAGACACATAGGAGGAAGTGAAAACACCGATTGTCTCCTCATGGTCAAAATCAATCTTTATTAAGACCCGCACAGAAAGAGCGACAGCAGCTCGTGGCCGCTGTAAACATTAAAAGATGACACAAGCAGGAGCGGCTCGTGTTACTGACTCTGGGAAGCAAACTTCAACAGGAAGTTGCAGTGAGTGTCTCACTTTTATGGGCTCAAAATGTGGTCATAAATATTTTGTACTTGTAAAAAAGATTTGTGCTTGTAAAAAAGATTTGTGTGTGGACTTAGCCCAAAAAACCCCTGCAAGTTACAACTACGAATTTTGACCCTATTTTTCTTCCTTTAAGCTGATTGGTGAATGTCATGTCAATCACAAATTAAACAATCCAATCAGAGAACAGATGGGTTTGGCTGTCGGAGGAGCGCTTTTTTGAACTGCAGGTCCTTGAAGGGTAATCTCTATATAAATATCCGATAGCAGCTAGGTCCCCTAACTTTCAGTAGCTGTTGAAAGGATAAAGTTGTGCTATATCAGTGGTTAGAAATAACATTATTACTTTAGGATTAGTTTAACACAACGTCAGGGCTGACCCAGGACCATTGCTGTGAGTCACAGTGCGCAGCATAAAAGTCCTTTCACATCGGACGCAGGATGTGCTGCTAATGCTAACTAAAAGCAAAGGATCCAGAATGTGTTGCAGGCTGCTGAGCTCTGTGGGGTTTTGCAGCAGCTCTACCTGTAGTAGATGCACCTGCTCCTTGTCGTTTCTATCTCTGACTTTATGTGAACTACAAGAGTTTGTTTTTTTGCTAGTTCTTCAAATGTTCAATAAAAACATGTATGCTAATTCATAACGAAGAAAGCTTTGGTTTTTTTTTGTGGGTTTTTTTTTTTTTGTGTGTGTCCCGTTTGGATCTTTAGCATCAGAATTGTTGTCTTAAGGCCAAGAAAGATGCCAAGCGGATTTATTTTACCAAGTGGATCATCATGGCCTTGCCATATTGGTCCATTTGATTGACCTTTATTATAATTATGAATTTATTTTATTTTCAGTTGCTACAAACGGGACAGACATGACTGGGGGATAGGACAGGGAGAAAGAATGAAAGAAAGAGGGGGAGAGAAAGAAAACCAAAGGGGAGAAGAGACGGTGAGAAGGGGGGGAAGAAAGAAAAACAACAAAAAAACAAACAAACACCTGGGTCACCTGTATGGAGAAAAAAACAGAAGAGAAAGCAAACAACAAAGAGCAACATAATAAAAAAAAACAGCACCATCACAATGAACTAGCTAGCAGTAGATATCAGTAGATACTAAATAATAAACGATATTGTGCAGCACGCAAGATAGACAGCGCACAGTGTGCTTTGAGGCAGCAGCCAAGAAAGCTGTAGTCCGCGTCTGTGAATACCCGTGTGTACACCTGTGTGCATACCTGTGTGGATCAGCATGCTTGCATTCCAAAGGTTTCTCCATGTAACAATCTGCTAGAGGGTGTGGGGGGGCCACAGCCCCGTCCTCCAGGGTATGAAGCAGGTATGGAGGAGATCAAAACTCCAGAAGAAAGCTTTGTAATGAAGACTGTCATTTCCAAAACACTGCCCCCCCTGCGTCCGCAGCGCTGTTGAAAAGGCTGTGGAAGTCCCTGTATTAAACACGTAGACCTGTGACACAAAAATCACCAAACTCGGACGACCACAGACTGTTTTCCTTCGTGGTGATGAAGGAAAACGCTGGGTTGGCATGTAGAAGGGCATTTATTCCCTTCAAAGACCTGCAGTTCAAAAAAAGCGCCCCCCGACAGCCAAACCCATCTGTTCTCTGATTGGATTGTTTAATTTGTGATTGACATGACATTCACCAATCAGATGAAAGGAAGAAAAATAGGGTCAAAATTCGTAGTTGTAACTTGCAGGGTTTTTTTGGACTTCCTGCAGTCTGTGTCTGGGTGTAGGTGTGCTGTGTGTCCAGCAGAGGGAGCTGTGAGTCCAGCTGAGTGAGGAAGGGCACCTGTGCTGATCAGCTGAGCTTCACACAGACTTTATTCATAAATGATTCAAAGTGTGTCGTGAGCGCTGTGCTTTCATGTTTCCTGTCTTCAGGATCATCCACACACCTGCGTGCTTCCACGCCCACATTCTTCCTTATAAGGAGAGTTTACCTCCTGGATGGTGGAAGATGGTGAAGCTGTTCTACAGTCACACAGTCATGATGAAGGAGCAGGTGACCGCTCTGTGTTTGGCCTCCTCACACGGAGCAGCAGCGAGCACCCTGTGAGGCGGTGCACGGCGAGAGGGATGGCCTTTGGTGGCCACTCGCCATCACTGTGACCAGCGCGTGTTGCCTTCACTGTTTGATGGTTTGTGGGACTTTCTGTGTGGCGCTCGCAGGGCCGGTTCGCTTCGTTGTTGTTGTTCGTCTGATGTCCTGCGCCCACAGTGAGTTTGTGGTCAGGAGGGCGTCTTGGCGTGGTGGCATGGCGATGACACAGAGCTGAGGACGCAGAATAAGCCTTCAAACCTTCCTCCCGTTCATGAACCAGGCGGATTCAAACCTCTCCTGGTGAATGAAATCGATTGGCTGCACTCGGTGTTCGTCTGTGAGCGCTCGCAGGCGAGCTGAATGGATTTCCTCCTCATCAAACATTTATCGTGCTGCCTGGTTTGGTGCCTTACCTCCAGCGTTAACCTGACCCTCAGGAACACGGCCCACGGCGAGGCTCACGTTTCATCGCACGCACCTGTGGAAGCAAACAGGCTGGAGCACGATGTCCTCAAACACGCGCCCCTCCGTCTGCGGTCGTGTTTTTGAGCACCAGGAAACGCAAAGCAATAACTCAGAGTAAACTGCAGCTGAAATACATAAAGTCTGATTTATTTATTCAAAGAAATCAACTTCAGGTAAAAAGTAACCTGGATAAATACCAGTCATGTTTCACGTTTCACTTAGTTAGCTGTAACGTTTCACAGGAAGTGATGTAACAAAGCTCCACGGAGAGTTTACATCTGAGAAAATGAAAGTGGGCACGTAGCGGTGTCAGCTTTGGTCTGTGCTGCAAGCCGCCTTGTCACCCACCTCCTCCTCTTTTCTCTCGAGCTCGTGCTGATGTTCAGCCAGATGTTGATTATAAAGTTTGAGTGTGTGAACGGCTGCTGATGAAATTATCCACGTTCTCATAACGACGTGTGTGTGCAGCTGTGGGTGTGTGTGTGTTTACATCAGCTGTGGATCTGCACGTGCTCAGTGAGCGCCGTTTTGTCTCTGGTTAAAAAGGTTGACGTGGAGATTTGAATGTGAGCCACAAGCTGCCGACGCCCTCGGCCTCCTCATGTAGTTTTAATGCAGCAGGTCAGGTGGTCAGCTTACACCTGACCCACTCTCACACACACACACACACACACACACACACACACACACACACACACACACACACTGTGGGTGAGTGGGAACACGACACCGCCCCCCTGACGCAGCAGGGCTCTGGTTTCTCTGCAGGCTCTGTTCAGCGGGACTTGTGGTCACCTGATCCGTCCCCGGGGTCGAGGAGGAGTGGAGGAGGAGGAGCAGGTGCGAGGAGTCTTCCCCTGGGGGAGGCGGCCCGAGTTTCCCTGCCGTGGGCCACAGACCGGGCGCTGCTGAGAAAGACGATTTCGGTGGACGACCGTCTGCTGCAGCCGGTGGGCGGCGAGCAGCGACACCTGAGGCTGCTGAACCGGCTGGAGAGAGGCCGGAAGAAACTCCGCAGCATCCACGTAAGTCTGGATTTCCTCTTATCTGATTACGTTTACTAAAGCTGACCTCTGACCCCAGCTTCCATCATCAGAACAGGACAGGAAGTGCTTTCACACCTTCTCCCAGGTGCTGTTTGTGGGAAACGCAGCTGACTGTTTCCCGATGAACAGCTTTTATCTTTGTAGCTGCTCTCGTGGTCACCGCTGTGCTCGGAGCGTTTGTGTGTTTTTGTTGTGTGTCAGACTCTCAGCGGCGCCGCCTCGACCAGCCTCGTGCCGCGGTGAGTCAGCGTGCCTCACGTTTGACACAGCTTCAACAGGGAAACCTTTGCCAGCAGTGAGAAAAACCGCGACGCTTCGCTGTCCCCGCCCACTGTGTCCACCTCGGACACAGTGGGCGGTAGGTCAGAGGTCACGAGCGTGGCTATGGCGTCTGTTTTGGTCACCTCCAGCAGCTCTAATTAGTCAGACGGTGGGAGGGAGCGGATTTTCCCACCGCTGCTGTGATGTCACAGGAAAGAGGAAGATGGATTGGTTGCTTTGTAAAAGACTGGGCGGGCTTTAGAGGAGTGGGTCATTGTTGCATCGATGATGGAGGACATGCCGATCCGCCCGAGCAGAGGTGCGATCGATACTGACGTCAGGATCGTTCAGTCAGGATGAGTTTATGATGCGAAGACAAAAGAAAGACGAGGAGAGAAAACGTGAAACACAGGACCAGTCTATTTCCTGAACATAGCAGCGATGCTTCGCACTCTGGAGCCTCTGGTCTGGTGGGCGTTAGAGGAACTGCAGGAGAAACATCATGAGCTGAAATCATGAAACACACACATCAGGAAACAAGAGGAAAAGGATCCGCCTCCATCATCGTCACCATCATCAGCGTGAGCGTCCACACTTGCTCTGGGAGCCGCGCTGGGGATGGATCCATTGATAGATCATTTTGAGCTTTTCTTTAATCTCAGGACTAATTCTGATGTTAGGTCGGTTTCGTCACCTCAGTGTGGCCTAAACAGCCTTAAAGGCAGAAACATAAAGACGTCCTCGTGTTTGAGCTTCAGCTGACGAGGTTTGTTACTCTGTCGCTGAAACGCTGTCCTGCATTCGTCTCCGCTCGCTCTCTCTTTTTCTCTCTCAGCCAACAAACTGTTTTGTGTTTTTGTCCAATCAGCAGCCAGATTAGTGATAACTCTGACTGACGGAGCGATGTCTCGCTGTGAGCAGAGCAGCTGGCGGTTCCTCCTCCGTCCGCTCCGTCGTGTCTGCGTCAGCGTCCGGCTGACGGCACAGAAACATCCCGGTGACTCAGCAGCGCTCCCGTCATAAACCCGGGGAAACGGCGCCTTTGTTTGCGCGCGGGGCGGGGACGCCTCCCCACCTCCACCTGCACCATAAACACATCCCGCTCCAGCGTTCAGCCGTTAAACGGCAGCTTTCTGGGAATCGTGACCCCGACAGCGCGACGCTGTGATGTCACTCCAAAGTCTGTTTGTTCCGGCTCAGCGGCTTTTACAGGAACACCGCGTTACTTTAAAACTTAGAACATTTTCTAGAGAAAATCAAAGATTCTGACATTAAATCAGAGTTTCAGGTAAAAAAAGACTAAAAGGCAAAATTTTAGAAAACACAAACTAAAAAAGTCAAAATGATTATTTAAAAATCAAGTTGAAATTCTTAATTTATAAAAACATTGAAAAATTTATTTCAGTTGGTTTTGTTTTAGTCCCAGTTTTGATAAAAATGTATAATTATTAACATTAAAACAGAATAATTTGACTCAAAATTTAAATAACTGAATTCTCATGTAACACAAACTCATCACGGGCTGCGATGAGCTTCCATACATCCGTGTTTCCCGCCTCTGTGTGAGCTTCATGTCACGTTCTGTTTTAACCATCAGTAGTAACAGGCCTCTCCTCCTGAGCACCAGCAGGGGGCGCCCTCCTCATCCGCTGGGCCTGTTTAATGTGACTGCAGCTGCTGCAGGAAGCGATGATTCACCCTGCTGAGTACGCAGGGCAGGTACTCAGACCCCCCATCGTACCTGAGCCCCAGGAGGAAGATTTCCCAGACGAGCCATCTAAATCCTGAGTTTTAGCGACACCTAATTCGTCGACTCTCATTCCAGGTCCCCGCCCCTCAGACCAGTTAATGAACACCTGCCTGCTCTAAACTCCTCCCCCTGCTTCCTGCTCCTTCATGACTCTAACATGAACATCATCAGGAAACAGTTGTTTTGGGGTAAAGAGCGGCGGATTGGAGCAGCATCTGCTGGTCGCTGCACGCAGCAGGCTGTGGTCAGCTGATCCAAGGTAAAACAGTGATGGACGACCCTCATTCGCGGAGAGATTTCCTGTGTATGGATTCATTTATCTGATTGTTTTGAGTGAGCAACCGCCAAGTTTAAACAGCCAATCAGCAGAGGGTTGGTGCTTTTGCCCCACTGTAGGGAACTTTTAGGGAACAGTAACTTCATTAAAGTGTTTGCAGGACTTTTATTTGTGTGACACGTTCAGTCAGCAGCAGCGCGTTCGGCATCCTCGACTCCGCGATGGGGTGATGTGGGCTGAGGCGTGCACACAGGCGGGCTCTGTGCACGCCTCCTGTTTACTCTGACATTTTTCTGTGGCCCGCTCGGCGTCTTTGTACACAAACACTCACACAGTGCTGTATTGAGCGTCCGTGCTCCCGCGGGACTAATCATATCAGCTGCTGCTCCGCTCCAAATCCTCCATGAATCACCTACCGCAAAATCTTAGCTCCATAAATTCAGCCTGACGTCTTATTACTGCTGATCCTTAAACAAACAGGCTGCGGAGCGCTGGAGTGCTGCCTTCCCCTCATGACAGCGCCGCATTAACCCGCTGCATGCTGAGGCTGCGCGCAAACCACAGCTTCACTCCTCACCATTAATGTAACCACATCCCCCAGTACACCTCCCAGTACGTGTACACCTGTGGTGATGATGATGAGGGTCCAGAGAAATGCTCTGCAGTCGTCAGGCATGACCCAAAACATTAAAGTCGATGAGACTTTGGCTCTGTGACGCTCCGACTTCAAACATAAGAAGAAGAAATTCAAATTATTTATAAACCAAATCACAGCAGTCGCCTCGAAGTGCTTTATGTCGTAAGGTCGACCCTACAATACTACATACAACAATCATATGACCCCCTATGAGCAGCACGTTGGCGACAGTGGGAAGGAAAAACTCCCTTTTAACAGGAAGAAACCTCCAGCAGAACCAGGCTAAGAGAGGGGCGGGGCCATCTGCGATTGGTTGGGGTGAGAGAAGGAAGACAGGATAAGCAGGTATGATTCAGTGCAGAGAGGTCTATTAACACATAGGAAGTGAAGAAGAAGCACCCAGTGCATCATGGGAATCCCCCAGCAGTTTTCTGCTGATCAGCTGATTGAGCTCATGACGTCACCTCGGCGGCGCTCTGTGGCGAGACGGTTCACACGTTTAAAGATTTATTTTTGTGGAAAACCTCAGAGGTTCATGGATGTAGTGAAGGACGTGCAGAGGGCTGCTGGGACAGGAGGAGGTGGAGCAGATGGTCCAGTGTGGCGCCCCCTAAAGGAAGCAGCTAGAAGACGAAGAAAAGGATTCTGCAATTGTTTACAGTCTAAATACATTAATTAATAACAGTTTAATTACAGTGTAGTTATTCATTCACTTGTACCTTTAAACTTTGCACCTTTACATTGTAACAAAGTGTAAACATAAATGTTGCTGTGTGGTTACATCGTGACTGACGTACACCGGTGTAATTAACACTATAAACAACATGTATTATAATGTAATATGATCAAATGTAGTTTAATTAAAAATGTAATAAATAGGTATTTTTTAAATATAGCGTAGTTACAGTTATAAATACTTTTAAGTATAAAGTTTAATAATTACTAACATACTGAAAAAATTATCTTCAAGTATAATTATTTTAATTACATTGCAGTGTGTTAGTATCTGCTATATGTGTAATAAATCCATTCAGGTCATGTTACACAGTGTGATGAAGTACAATAGTGTAGTTACATTAGTGTTGTGGAATTACATTTCAAGCATAAAAAAATCAGGTTGGAAGAGGTCAAAGGTCATCCTGAGAGGCCTCACTGCTCGCTGTGGCATCCGTGTCTCGTGTTGGACACAGAACATGTCACAACATTAAAGTAAAAGTGGACTTCATGACACGTTCCTCACTGTTTGCTGGGAGTGGGACAGCGTGCAGGCAGCGCGCAGTGGGAGGTCGTGCTGGTGGTGGTAGATAGTTTTGATGATTGTTCACTAACTTTGGATCAATGACCTCACAGCTCACGCTGCTGAACTCTGACCTTTCTTCACACTGGCTGTGGTGGAGCTCATAAAGTTTAATGTGGGGTCTGATGGCGCCGCCTCTCTGTGAGCAGCAGCTTGCGGCTGAATCTCACCTGATTGCCGGACCGCCGTGCTGCATGACATGTGTGACCACGGCAGTCAGCCTGTCAGTCACCCAGCGGGTGGGCCCTGCCAGGAGGGGGGCCTCAGCCTCCCCCGTCTGCGGGCTCCCCGCCCGGCCATGAATGCCGGCATTGGAGGGCTAATTAGCCCGAGGAGAGGCCAACAGGCCGGCTACACAGAAAGCCTTGTTCACATTAGAAAAGAGAAGCAGGAGCGGGAGGGGCTCGGCCGTCTGCAGTCAGCGCCGTCCACCCGCCGCGTGGCGAGCGTACAGGAGAACAGGAGGTTAGTTCAAATTAGCGGTGACGCTTAACAGGCAGGCTGAGTCAGTGAGGTCCCTTCAGGTCTGATCACTGCAGATCGAGCTGGGTATCGATACAGATGTTCAGCATCAGCCCAGAGAGGCTCTCCTCCTGCGCTTACACTCAGAGTGAGGTAGATGAGGCCTCACAGCTGATAAAGTACTGTAAAGATAAAAGCATGTGAGCGTTATCAGTGACAGATGCAAGCAGCTCTTTTTGTCTGCTGAAGTCAAACTCTCCAAGAAGCAGACTCAGCTGTTTTTAAGACTGTTTCT